ACCAGAAAGTTTCTTTTTTTTTTAAAAAAAAAAACAAATAACGATATTGGATGGAATAAATATCTTGAACCTGCCAGCAGTAGGTGATTGGATGAGTCTTTTGGATGGATTCAAGATAGTAATGTTTGCGGTGACCCCCTGTTGCAAAAACAACATTGAAATCGGAAGAATATATAACAGTCATCATCATGCTTCATTTACCTCCGGTGTTTTTCTCTTTGAGGATTGGACAGTAGGTTTCTGGGAGTTTGATGAGTGAGCAATATCAGATGCTGATTTCCTTAATAAAACCCTGTTCTGAACAGTGCTTCCAATTGGATTGACATCTTTCCGAATTGAGGACTTTGTTAACTCAACGTTTAAACTGAAAATTTTGAAAGATAGAAGAAGAGAAAAAGCTTTATTGCAATATATATTCCCTTTACATCTGAACAATGGTAAAACTCACGAATCAAGAAGCACTTACCATTGGAGTTTCACGCCAGGGGGTTCAGGGGTCTTCCTACCACGTTCAATCGAGAAAAGCTTATTATGTCCTTCAGCAGGAATTTGTTTATTACTTAATCGAATAGCTGCTAAGGAAATTGGAAATCCCTTCTGTGCTGCATTTTTGTTCACCTCCAAGGAAAAGGAAGAGCCAGAGCTTCTGAAAACAAAATAAATTAATGTTCTTCAGAAATTTGTGTGGTTTCAACAGTATCAGTCCACCATATTGGTAATTTATCTAATCAAAGATCCTTGATCCTGGTAAAAGTCAAGCTTATAGTGGACATTATTCCTGATGGTATTTACACAAATGTCAGCTTCAAAACGTCAATTACAAAAGGAGAAAAAGAGAGTGTTAACCTTTAGTGTCTAACACACTTCCAACACAGTTTAAATGAAGCACTCTATTTTATATGTGGGGAAGATATACACAGTGTGAGAATGTAGTACCACTTGAGTATTATTTAGTTTCAGAAAATTATTGTTATCATTCAACATAGGTCAAACTGAAATATAAGTAGCAAGTCGTTAGTAGATAAGGAATAACGACCTAAGAGGTTCCGTATCTTTCATGCTCTTCTCTTTTGTTGTTTCCGTCTCCTTACCTAGTGAGCTAGAAGAATCATTCAGCTTCTTCCTGTTTTCTAGCCCCTCAGCACTGGACATCAGACTACTGAAAGTAAACTATCTACTCTTGTCTTCCATATTCATACTCTGCCTTAAAAGACAAAAACAACTACACTTTAACTGAAACATAGATTTGTGTTACGTGTTGAGCACACCTGGGGACCTTGAGAGCCACATAGCTTTCCTGCTTTTGTATCTTGGGAAATTCCTTTAGCTGTGTTTTCACTAGTTTGGAATATTGCAAGGAAAGAGGGGCTACCCTTTTATCACCTTGAATGCTAACCACGCCCTCTCTATTTCATATTAGACAACATTATCTCAAACGAAACACTATTAAAAGTAAGATTGAATTATTCGAAACATAACACACCTTTTCCGTTCAACTAGACTGGATTGAAGGGTGCCTATCTTTCTAGTACTTAATGGGGCAAATGTTGTCTGGTTTGAGACATCCGGTGCAGGACATACTGGTTTCTCTGACTGAATGAAAGATTTTGAGCAGGGTGCACTTGGCTCTCTTCCTTCATCTGTTTCTTTCTCTGACAGATCAGCTGTTTGACTGCAACAGGGTAAAAATCATGGATCATTTTTTTTTTTTTTTTTAAAAAAAAAACAAAATGGTTTTCATTTCCACGAGAATATTCCGTGTAAGAAAGAATTTTTCTTTCAATCACTTAACTGGAGAAACAGAAAGAGAGCATAATCTTTACCCGACAAAGTTTGACTTCAAAATCTCCAAATTGTTCTCCCTGGTAGATGTTTTGTCACCGAGTATTCCTGGAACAGCACTAGCGGTACAAGACTCCCAACGAGCGATTTAACTTTACCTTCTTCAACTCTTTCTCTGTTGTTCATCACATGGTCTTCAACCCCAACTTCACTCTTTCTACCAGTATTCTCCTCAGCAATCTCAACAGTATGGAGGAGGTGCGAGTTGACAGGTATTGCAGATTTGTAATGACAGGATGAACTGTTAATAGACACATGATCAAAATCTTGTTTTCCATTTGCACTAGTTGTGTTCGTACTTGTGGAATTAGCGTCATCGTGTTCCTCTGATGAATGGTCTCCGGTCGGCTCATTTCTAAAGCGAGAATCAGATGAGATTTCCTTGCCATCATCACTTCCAGTACAATCTTCAAGCTGAACTGGTTTGGCTAAAACCAAATTATCAGATGGACCCACTTTAGGTAACTCTATAAAAGCAGTTGTTGTATCAAAATGACTCGTTGCTTTATCAGATTCATGAATAGCAGCTGAATGTTCTGGAGTATCACCATCATCCATTGCAACTTTAGAAGGTAGGTTTTCTTTTACGGGTCCAGGATCTGCATCTTCTCCAACCGAGCTATCCATATCAACATTCATTGTAGTCCCATTTAGAGATGGCTTTTGTGCCCAATCTTCTGAAACAGTCGTACTTCCAGTATCTTTCTTGTGCATGGAACCTTCCTCTTCTTCACACCCCCTTCCACTAAGAGAAGTACCTTCCTTATTTTTGTCTTTTTCAGCTTTTGAGACATCTTTTGTTAAATTTGACTCGAAATTGAAATTGTCCAACCTGGAAATAGAGAAAGTAAAATGTCAATGCATGATACTCAACGTCATATAACCGCCATAATGGAGCATGACAGCTTCTGCAGACTCACTCATCAAAATCAAATGCAAAAGCAAAATGGTCAGCTTTTCCTTTATCCTTTCCCCTGGATGACGATTCTTTTGGCTTCTCCTTGGGTTTTTCATCCTTTTTAAGTGGAGGGGAGATATCCAGATCAGATATATCCATCTTGAAAGATGACATTTTTCCAAAATCACCATCCAAATTAAAATCCACATCCCTGGAAGCAGCAATTCATCAGTAAGCTAGGAGTTGTAGTATTTCACTGCAAACTTACAGTCACATCCTATATACAGCTCTTACTTTTAAAATAAACTTCACCAACAACCTAATATCAGCAAAGAAGTACATAATTTAACAAGAAAAACCAAAACCTTAATAAAATGCATTTTGGACATCAAAACCAGATACCAACTAAAAAGTAAATAACATGATAATTTCACCTCACATATCATTAAAGTTCCTATAATATCAAGCTGACTTTCTATACAGATGAGATTATGAATAGGCTAATAAAATTCATAAATCTTATCTTACGCTTTATCAAACTTAAATGTCTTCTTATTGCCAGGCCCAGGAGTCAGATCAAAATCCATTTCATCCCCCTCAGCTATTGAGATTGATTTCCATGA